CTTTTAATAAGAAGAGATCCCACTTGTTGATTGTTTGTGCTAGTTCACAGGCAACTGAGGTTTTGTTCATAAAATCTTTTCCTACACCAATATCCTCAAGAGTTCTACCTAACCTTTGTTCCAACTGGTTCAGCATTTCTATTTTAATATTTAGAAAAGATAGACCTTTTAAAAGTATATATTATCTGATTCCACTTACAGGACTTTCCCAAGGAGGCAGGCTGACTGTGGTGTTTCAGTAACCCTTGATGGAGATTCCCTGACAGGAAGTGGGAACGGGGATGTTTCTGTGCTCACGGGGCTAGAAATAGGCAGGTTATAATGGCACAGCCGTTCAGTCCCTACCGGAACTGAACTATTTTGCCTTCCTTCCCTCCCTTCCTTTCCTCCTTGGTACTGGATGTGAGAAGCCTTGCCCAGTCTTTTCAGTCAAAAATATGAACAAGACAGTGTCTCCACCTTGAACTCTAATTCACTCTAGGCTGCCTCCCCCCACCCTTTTTCTCTTCAAGCACACTAAGCTACGAAAGACGTTTTCTCAGTTTAGATTCTGAGAACACAGCTGACAAAGATAACTTATCACAGCCAGAGAGTTTCTGTCCCCCATACCCCACTCTTCCTTCTTATCCACCCTGCCCAGCAACCCTTCAGGTCCTCCCTTCCCATGGCTTAAACCAGTCGGGGTAGATTGTGAACCTTCAAATGGGGACAAGGTCGGCTGCTTCTCATGTTAAGGATAAAATGAGTCTACTGTGCCTCCCTGCACAGTGTGCTCTGCCCTTCTGCGGAAGTAAAACCTTGCCTTGTGGAGATTTCTTGGTGTCTGAGTGCTTTATTATCTGCCCCAAGAAAGTGAGTCTGGGGGCATATTTCCAACATGGGAATTGAACCCAAGTTCTTCACCATCCCTACCTCATTTTTAATTTTTGAGACGAGATCTCACTAAATTGCTAAATTCCCCAGAGTGGGACTGAACTTGCAATTCTCCTGCCTCATCCTCCCAAAGTGATGGGATCACAGGTGTGGGCCACCATGTCCAGCTTCAACGGTTTTTTTTGAATAAATCCTCTTCGATTCGTTGCCAATCTTTAGTTAAGTAAAGATTTCTAGAGTTCTGGAAAAGTTGAATTTGATGATTTCTGCCCTCCTGCTTACTGTTTTTATGACAGTTTTGGAGGCTCTGACTTCACTTTTCCTACTGATGTTCCTCAGATGTTTGTTTCACCCTCACAGTTTGTCCCAGTCAGCTTGGGGTGCCCGTGACAAAGTATCATGGACCGAGTGTTAAGCAGTCAAGCTGTGTCTGCACAGGTCCAGAGGACAGAAGTCTTGAGATCAGGTGGCCTCTTCCTGGCCGCCTCCCCGCTGAGCCCCCAGGGCAGTCCTCGGAGCATGCCATGCACATCCATGCTCTTCCTCTCCGTAGGGGGAGCCAGTCCTGCTGGATTAGGGCCCTACCACTGTGCCCTTATTTAACCTGTTACTGCCTCAAAGCCCTGTCTCCCAACTGCAGTCACATTGTGGGTTAGAACTTCAGCTTGTGGATTTGGGGAACCCACTGCGCAGTATCTTCGAGTTTGGACTCGCCATATTTCATGTGGTGAATAGGCCACTCTGTTCTGTATCAAACAGTGCAGTCTAGTAGTTGTTAAGGCGTACCCCCGACTAAGCAAAGATTTACACTATTCTAAATATAGAAAAAAATATTTATTATGATTGCTAAATTACTATTTTGAAATGGGAAAGAAGATTCTTGAAAGCTCTTGCTCAACCAGTCAGGCGACAGGAGGGTGGGTGCAGCGTGCATCTTGTGACATAAAAGGTAACATCCTAAAGGTGTTTTATTAAACCTTAAACTCAGAAAAATCCAACTGGTATAGATTTCAAAAGATTACATTGTGTGATCTAAAATTATTTTAATTATAAAAATAATAATTGCTTATGGACAGAAAGAGAGAGAATTGAGAGTAGAATCTACAAACTAAAACTAAGAGTACTTTTCCACCTAACCCCAGCTTCAGTAGTCCCGCTTCTGAACGGTTTAAATATTAGGATTCTTGCTTTTCTTGCTTTTCAAAGTAAGGATTCAAGTGGAAATTTCACAGAAAATTTCAGCTGCTTGGAAAATATTCATAAGCAAACATGTCTGTACTATTTTTACTGTTTCCTAGATTTCTGTGCCTAATGAATTTGATGTCATGTTTAAACTGAAAGTCCCCAGAATTCAGCTAGAGGAATATTCTAACAGCGGTGCCTATTACTTTGTGAAATTCAAAAGAAATCCTCAAGGAAATCCTCTGAGTCAGTTTGTAGAAGGAAAGTTTTTATCAGCTTCTAAGATGCTGTCAGAGTTTAGAAAACTCATTAAGGAAGAAATTAAAAACATCAAAGGTAAGACTTTTGACTTGATCCTTAAAGTTCTGATGCTGCCTACTAACTGGCACTATGCACTCCCTCCTCTCCTGATGGTTCCTGGCCTGTCTGCAGCCGACTGAGTACTACCTCCTGCTAGAAACATCCCTGCCCTTGGCTTTAGTCTGTTGCATTTTCTTGGTATTCTTAACTGCTGACTTTTTCTTGTGTGGATTCCATTGAATATTTCCTGAACTGCTGCCTGTGCTGCTGGGTAAATGTGCTTTGAGGAAATTGGTGGGATCCCTGATTGGAGCTTGCAGTCTAGTGGGGACACAGAGTAAACAGCATAAAACTCCAAGCTGCAGTGGGTGCTCTAAGGGAGTGAACTGGGGGAAGTGATAGCAACTGGGGAGGAGCTTGGCCAGCTCAAGGAACAACAAAGAGAAAGCAGAGAAATGGATGAATATGGGAAGGAGGAAGGTGTAGGGCCAAGGGAGAGTGGAAGACAGTGATTTTTTGTGTGCAAATGATCCTGCAATGAGGGAGAGATGGCTGATGAGGGAGAGGGAATAATCAAAGAGCAAAGTGCTTGAGAAGGAAAGGGGAAAGGGATGTGGAGCCTACATGGAGAGGTGGCCTTTGACAGGTGGAGATTACTTCTTCAGTGGTGACAGAAGGGCAGAAGTTACAATAGGTAAGAAGTACGCAGATATGCAGATTTCTTCAGCATTTTTAAATACAAAGAAAATAGTTTTATTTGTATACCAGAGACTCTTAAGAAATGGAGACATAATAATAGTAAGAGGGTAGACATCGTGACGTGGATGATTAATCACCGTTTCAATCAACCTCCCCTTAATTACACAACACAGTCTCTCTGGTATACTCAGACTGATTCTTTTTTTTTTTTTCTGGTACCGGGGATTGAACTCTGGACCTTGAGCATGTGTCCAGCTGACAGAATTAGGGTTCCCTTCCATCGTTCCTTCTTGTCTTTCTTTGTTTTCTTTTTTTCTGGATAGGAATTGCTGTGCCAGTGCCCTTTTCCAGCATTTTCTCCTCTGTGCTCAGTGTGGATCCTCTTGGAAACATTACCTGAGAGTCTTTCCTGCTCTTACATCCCTGGCTCCCAAAGCTGCCTGTCCAGTGACTGTGCATTTGGGCATGTAGAGCTCATGGGATCTAAAGTAGTTTGGTTCAGTCCAGTCATTCTTCTGCCTTTGCTGTTCTGGAAGATGGAATCAACATCAACCAGTTTGCAGGCCAAAATCTGTCGGGAGCAATGCTACATAATTTTAGGGAAAAATCATTTGATTAGGCCTAGCTCTTCTGCCTACAGGCCAGCTATGGCATTTTGAGACATAATTCCATTTTGGCCTTTGGTCACAACTGAGACCTCAACGATCTGGTGATGCTGTGATGCTCCAGGACCAGATTACACCAGCTGAAGACATCCTGGGAGGAACAAACATCTACTCAGTTCCTCATTGTGCTTGGATTGTTACACCTTGTTTATCCGGATGTACTAAACTCTCTGCAAGTCATTTGTTACATCTGTTTCTCTTGATGTACTGAATAAAAGGTGCGGCAAACTCGGAGCTTTCGGCTTTGCTGCCCAGCCCAGCGCTGATCAGACCCGAAGCTCGGCTTCTCCAAGTCTCATTTTTTTCTACCTTTCCTGTATAATAAGTTAATTCACCTTGTGCTGCTGTGGCTTGCAGGAGACTAGGACTCACTGCAGAGATCCTAGTAACGGCCCCTTTCCCTGTTCCCTACAAAAATCCTCGTGTGCACCTAAGGCTGCCTTCCTCCTCCCCTCACACTCAGTGCCTCTGCCACTCCTCTATTAAGTGGAACGTCTCCATTGAATTGAATAGTTAATCAAGCTACTTCCCAGCCCTGGTTTGACCCCTTCCTGTTCCCTGCATCCCCTGGGTCTCAAAGCTTGCTGTCTCTGTGCTATGCTCCCCTCTGCAGTTGTCTTCCTCCTGCCACCCACTGTTCTGTATGAGATTTAGTCACAGACACTCAAGCCCCAGAGTCTTCAGGGACTAAAGGCATCCTGTCAGTGCCTCCCTATTGTAGGTGTCAGTAAAGGATGATTAGGTGAGTAAGACACTCTACCTAGTGGGAACAGTTTCTGTTGTGGAACTAATACTTTCTACTTAACATTTTGAAGATGTTCAATTATACTTACATAATTTCCAGAAAAAATCAGATCAATAAACCTTTTCTTTCTGTTGATACATTTAAACAGATGTCGTTATGGAGAGGAAAAAATGTGGGAGCCCTGCTGTAACACTTCTCATTGGAGAGTCTAAGGAAATATCTGTGGATATAATCCTTGCTTTGGAACCACAGGGTAGCTGGCCTGCAAGCACCAGGGATGGCCTGCCCGTCAAAAAATGGCTTGGAGGAAAGATCAGGACTGAACTCAGAAAGCACCCATTTTATCTTGTACCCAAGCATGCAAAAGAAGGACAAAGTTTCCAAGGTATTTTATTTTTTTTTGGTACCAGGGATCAAACTCGGGACCTTAACGCTTGTGATGCAGGTGGCAGCACCACTGACCTAAATTCCCAGCCCCTCCAATGTATTTTGAATGTGAAGACACGGAAGAGTTGTTTATGTTATGTGCAAGGGCAGTAGATCAACACCCTGCTAATGCTGTTGGCATTTTGGAACCTACCAGGTTAAATAGGCTGCAAGATGAGAGTTTGGTGAGAGATGGAATTGGAAAGGGCATAGTTATAGTACAAAATACCTGCATTTGAAATTTATCTTTTTTTAATTAAAAAAAATTTTTTTTGGTACTGGGGATCAAACTCTGGTCCTTACGCTTATGAGGCAGGTGACGTAACCACTGAGATAAATCCCCGGCCAAACTTATTTTTGTTTTAAAGAAAGGGAGTCTTGGAGTCAGACTGTTCTGGTTCTGAATCCTGAAACATCTCCTCTGACCAGCTGTACGGTCCTGACCTGGGTGGGTACAGGTCCTCTCTGAGCCTGTTCACACAGCTGCATGCTGTGCTAATCAGAGCTCCTTGGGAAGGCAGAAATGAGCTGGTGCCTGTGAGGTCCTGACTTCACTCAGTTCACTGCAGCTCATTGTTCCGATCCATATCATCCTCTGCACCTGGCCGATCACCCTCACCCATTTCTCTCCTTCCCTTTGCATCCCACCTCCCAGCAGCCAGTGAACTCTCCTGCCTCAGGTGCCACAGGGCCCAGGTGTGGTCTCTCCCTTTCCTCCATGTCCTGGCCTCCCCCGTCAGGTCTTCAGGCTGTGTTGTGTGTAACATGCACATTCCAAGAACCTGACAGCTAAAACTGAGCAGCAGTAATATTTTTTCAGGTGTCAGGAAACACTGTAGCTGATTACTTTCATTTTCTCCCATACATTTAATGAACCAAGTTATAAATGAGTATTCTTGGAACAGGTCTAGCAATAATTATTTTGAGTTTGATGATTTGCATTTTTGTGGACACACATCATAACTCCTTTTTTGAATTGTTTTAAAGATAAATCACTGTCTAGTTCAGGCTGGACTTGGAGTCACTATGTAGCCCAGGCTGGCCTCAAACTCGTGGTCCTGCCTAAGACTCCCGAGTGCTAGGATTATAGGCAGGTACCACCTCGCCCGGCAAATGACTGTTTATAAGAAGGAACTACAAATAAGAAGTTAAAAAAGTAAAATAAAGAAGGAATTACATATACCATTATTTATGGTTTTGCAAAGAGAACATAGTTTTCTGCAAAGAGGAGCTGCACCCCTGACCGCTTTCTTGGCTGTCCCAAGAAATCCTCCTTGTATGTGGTAACAGAAACCTCAGCAGGACCCCATTCCACCTGCTTGCTGATCCTCTGCTGCCCTGAAGAAAAATGGTGGATAATTCAGTGTGCAGAGGAGAAGGAGTCCTTTACAGCCTGGTGGCCCTGGGTCACTCCTCACATTTTTGCACTGAGGTGACAGAGAATGAAGGTGGTGATGGATGCTCAACTCCAACTGCTCTTCTGTTCCCACTGGCTGTTCTACATCTCTCAGCATTGCAGACTCTCTGCCTTTAGACAAGACCTTCTGTTGGGGCTAGTGTGTGTGTATCTGTGTGTGTATACCTCGGTGCCTGAACAGACAGGCTTACCAGCAGTGAAAATACACTGGTCTGGAAACACTTAGGTTTTGGCTCTTCTCCTTCCAAACATTTTACTAGAAATATCACAAACTGTATTTTTTGAACTAGGTGGGTTTCTTGTATATAGCATATTGTTGGATTTTGCTTCTTAATCCATTCTGCCAGTCTATTTCTTTTGATTGGTGAATTGAAGCCATTAACATTGATGGTTATAACTGATACATATTGACTTATCACTGACATGTTATTTTCCTGTTGTTGGCTCTTTTTTAATTTCCCCCCCCTCTCCCTTTAATTTCTTCCCTTGTCTGATGGATTTGCTCTGTTGGCCCTCATGGAGTTGTGACCTTCATTGCCTCCTGTTTCTTCATTGACTCCAGTCAGTCTTATGTTATTCTTCTTTGCATTGTCTAGCAGCTGCTGGATTGATTTCTCCTGTCCCTTACAATTTAAAAATATTTTTTTTCTTTTCCTGGTCACTAATTGCAATCTTATCTTCTGTATCTGAAATTCTATAATCACAATTGGCTCATTCAGCTGCATAGACTTTAAATGGAGTTTTTAATCTCCTAGAAATTGTTTGCATCTGTTTTATGGATTCCATTTGTTTCCTATGTTGGGATTCCATCGTGATTTCATTTTTTCCAGATCTTCTTTTGTTGCCAGTTCAGGGAATCCAGGTGGTTGAGTATCAGTGTTCCATCTCATTTCCCTTGGGTTGCTGTAGGTGATC